GCGGGAGATTTTAACGAACATCGATTTCTTCTCAGATACAGCTTCTCGCGTTTACTCTCCCAAAATCCCCAGTTTTTTCATACGCACACAGTGGCGGAGCCAGCAATTATTTTCATGGGGGTCAAAATATTATTTTCATGGGGGTCAAATATAGAATTTTTAGCCATTTTATATGACAAATTATATAACTAAGAAGAATTATTAGAAAAATTATAAATTTTGTTGGGGTCAACTGACCACCCTACCCACCACGTACCTCCACCACTGTACGCACATATTGGCTTTGATTGGTAGCATGAGTTGGTATTGATTTAGTTTGAGTTAAGGGWCTAATTCATTGATAACTCAAAAATGTTARCAATTATGAATCAAACTAAAATTTTAGAATTTGAGTTTGAGTTATCATGAATTATGGTTGATTCACCATTTTGAGTTATGTTCTTTGTTAAATTGCTAACTCAAAAGTTAATCCAACATCATGGAAAATGGGATGAATTAGATATTGAGTTAAGTGTTTTTGTTGCTTTTTTGTATTTAACGTGACCTCACATTTTTTTTTAATGCTATTTCCAATTTTAATTATTTTATTATGGTACACAAAATAATAATTCCAACAAGATATTGTATTTAATTTTTAATTAACATGGTTCTATCAATTTGGTTAAAGATTTTTGATTCAAACATTTTGTTTATATTGTCTTAGTTATTGATTTTATTTTATATTTTCGTTTGAAAAACTTTAAACAAGTATGTCGTTAGTTTTTTATTTTATGTTATACAATTTGTGTTTTAGTTTATGTTTAAGTGAGTATTATTTHTTTTTTAATATTATATATTAATGTTACAAAAAAGTTTAYTTTTATATCTAAGTTAGTATCATTTTAATTAGTCTTTCTATTTATAAACTTGTAACAAACGTTAATTATTTATAATTATTTAAAATTTTAATTTATGCTTAATAATACATACTGCAACTTATACATCATAAAAGTCACCAAGTCAACTGTATTGATTAAAATGTTAATTTGTATTTCTACAGCAAACTCACTACATAAATCTACAGTTTTTACCACATATTTTTACTGCAAGTTAACATCAAATTATAACATCTACTGCAACTCAAATTCGATACTACATGCTACCAGTCGGACCCATTGTCTCTTAAGCACAACTTGGAAACCTTTAAATCACGCAAGTTCCTGAACACACAAGCAAACCCATCGTTGATTGCATTTCTCAGATCACGCGAATCATGGAAGGATCGAAAATACGGAAGAAGCTTTTCAGGCGTATGTCGTATTGCAGTTGAATATCTTGGACTGCGATGATGATTGACCGGCGAAGTGGAAAAACGGTAGAAGATGAGTATTGTACAGTGCCATGATTAGTCTTTTGGGATTATTGTACAGTTTGATGCTGCAGGAAGACGACAAGATATGTTCAGTGTTATGCCTGAAAAGAATCGCGTGTCTTACGATGGGGAGGATTTTTCGGTTTCTTTCGGTTTCGGGCAAGGATGTGTGATAAAGGCGCATAATTTGTATGCGAAACATCCAATAAGTTATTGCATCCGGTTTCTGTCAACACCTTGATGAATGGTTATTTGAAAACAGAGGAATTGAATGAGGCTATATGATGGGTATTGCAAAGGGGGAAGTATTCTCAATGCTAGAGAGAAGCCCTGTGAGAAATTTTGTATCAAGTGCTATGATTGATGGTTGTATCTAGGACGATATCACCTGCACCCTTATAATATCTGCGTTTGTGAGCAATGGAGAGCACGAGGAGGCGTTTCGTTAGTTTAGTAAGATGGATGTTCTAGAAAACAAAATGTCTTGTCCAAAGCTCCCCACTTTCACTAGTGTGATCGGCACAAAATCAGCTTTGGCTGCATTGAGCTAAGGACTTCAAAAATGTGAAAATGAGCATGGGTTATGTCTTGGTTAGTTCAAAATCCACTTGCAGTTGACTCCTATTCTACATCAGCTTATGTTATGTGAGTCTTGTATATCAGATTTTTGCAACTTATCTGATTACATGACGTGCTCTTGCAGATTAAGAGCTTAGCTTGATCTCGTGGCTACAAATCCCCAAGCGTGTTTTCCCGGAACAAATCAAAACCAACTGTAAGTACCTGATTCTCTGTATTTTACTTACTCTGGTCTAGTGACCCAGAAGTTAAGACATTCGTAATGTTCTAGGATTAGACTTCACAAATTGTCTCTTGACTAAGATTTGGGCAAAAGGCTCATAATGCTTTAGGATCAGAGCTCGCAAACTGGATACCGGATTTTCTCATTTTGAGGTCAACTTTTGTTTTTGAACATCTTGCCTTAAAATATATATGTACATAGATCGTGACTTTTTCATCCCATGTGTGAATATTCATACTTTGTATCTCGGTCGCATTTTAAAATTAGAGTAAAGAGTTTGACCTTCATTGCTTCCAAGTACAAGAAACCTATTAAGAGATCCACATACTCTTAAATAGGCAAACTCAATTATAAAATTCTATTGGAGAAGGTGGATCAGCCATGGCTAGTATTCATCTTAGCTCATCCTCCCTCTTCATCCAATCCAGAGGAAGAAGATACAACTCGATATCTTCCGTCAAGAGTCTCCAAAAACGCACCGTTTTGTCTCTCTCTTCTGTGCTCACCTCACAAGGCGGCGGACACATGATTCCACCAGAGGGAAAAAGCAATAATGGCAACTCTGCCTTTGACTTCAAGTCATATATGATCCGAAAAGCTGAATCTGTAAGCGCGGCTCTCGACGTTTCTGTACCACTTCTGAAACCCCTCACGATCCAAGAGGCGGTGCGGTACTCATTGCTAGCGGGCGGAAAACGTGTGAGGCCTCTGCTCTGCATTGCTGCCTGCGAGCTCGTCGGTGGCGACGAAGCTATTGCCATGTCAGCCGCTTGCGCGGTTGAAATGATCCACACAAGCTCTCTTATTCATGATGACCTTCCTTGTATGGACAACGCGGACCTCCGCCGAGGAAAGCCCACCAACCATAAGGTATGTTGTTAAATCATATGAAGGCTCACAGAAATGCTCACTAGAGTTGAATCAGTCATTGATGTTAATGCATGCTCACTAGTGTTTAACTAATTTTTGCTCAAAAGGTATTTGGAGAAGACATGGCGGTTTTAGCGGGTGATGCACTCCTTGCTTCGGCGTTTGAGCACATGACGATGGTGTCAAGTGGGTTGGTCGCTCCAGAGAGGACGGTCCGTGCTGTAATTGAGCTGGCAAAGGCCATAGGCACAAAAGGGCTTGTGGCTGGACAAGTGATAGATTTATGCAGTGCAGGATTGAATCCAGATGACATTGGATTGGAGCGTCTAGAGTTCATCCACCTCCACAAAACGGCGGCATTGTTAGAGGCAGCTGCGGTTTTAGGGGTTATAATGGGAGGTGGAACAGAGGAAGAAATCGAAAAGCTTAGGAAATATGCGAGATGTATTGGGCTATTGTTCCAGGTAGTTGATGATATACTTGACATAACGAAATCCACTGAGGAGTTGGGTAAAACTGCCGGAACAGACGCTATGACCGGGAAGCTGACGTATCCTAGGCTGATTGGTTTGGAGAGATCGAGGGAATTCGCAGAGAAATTGAGCCGAGAAGCAATGGAACAGCTTCAAGGGTTTGATCCGGATAAGGCGGTGCCTCTGGTGGCTCTAGCTAGCTACATTGCTGGCAGACACAACTGAGCTTTTGCAATAACTGATCATATGCTCACTGCATCTAATGTCATTTTTTCCGCTCTCTGGTGTTGTTTCTTATGGAACCATTAATGTTTTGAAAAACCCTAGGATCTCTCTCTGTGTTTTTAGGTTGTAATTTAGTATTGTGTTTATGAATTTGATGTCATTTATTTCAACAAATATCAATAATGTCTGCACATGGAAACAGAGCAAGTGGGTAAAAAGTAAAAACTAAGAACGTTATTATGTGGATTCCCCCCCCCCCCCCTCTTCCTCAAATGATCTTCTGACTTTTGTAAATTACACGAATCGTTGAAAACAATGGCTAAAAACTAGGCGTATAATAAGAAATTGTATGTAATAATTGATGATAAGACTCTGTTATTTCAAAAACAGAGTGGAGAAGAGAAAGCGCATGACATAGATAAACAACCAAAACAGAGTTCTTCGACCAAAAAAACAGAGTACTTATAATTTGTCTTGTCTGTATCGTTATGGAGGCAACAAGAATGGGTTTTGGACTTGGAAACCTTTCTCAAATTCACACCTTCCCTCTCTGTCTTAAGTCCAACCTCTGTGTTTTTCCTCGGCGTTTGCTTCAAAACCACACTCTTTCTCGAAAACCGGCAAAACACAACTTGTTATGTGTTAAGGCTACTACTGAGAGTAGTTGTGATCTTGAGAGCACTCGTCCCTTGATCCAATTTTCTCCCTCATTTTGGGGAGACCATTTCCTCTCTGTTCCCTTTGACGACTCTGTAAGTACACAACCAAAAATATTCTCTTGATGGGATGTGTTTCGTTTTCGCAGAAATGATTCATTTTCTTAGCCATATCGTATCTTTGCAGGAATTTGATTCACTTGATCGGGAGATTGAGTCAGTGATGAAGCCGCTTCTTTCTTGAAATGTTGGTCAAATCTTTTTGGTGCCTTGATGTCGTTGTCTCCTCTCTAACTACGAAGCCGATCAAGTTTCAGAGGATCTCGTATCTCCATTTCTCCGGACCTGGACTCTGGTTTTAAGTTAACTAATTTTATACCTATTTTGGCTCAGTCAACATAAGTTTGTGTATTTTATGGCTCATTAAGAAGTTGGTATTTTTTTGGCTCAAAATAGAAAGTTTGGTATTAAAATGACCTTATGAGTTTTTTTTTCTAATTTCAAAACGACGCCATTTTGAAACTTAACGGATAAAGTAAACGATTTTTTAATGGCCGTTAAAGTTGACTAATTCTATACCTAATTTAGACGAATCAACCAAAGTTTTGTATTTTTTTTACTCATTAGAAAATTGATACTAATTTTGGCTCAAAACGGATAGTTCGGTATTAAAATGACAGTTTTCCTTTTTTTTTTTTTCCTCTTCTATAGTTCCTTCTTTTCGTTAAAGTCACAAACCCCAGACTTTCATTCCCTCTCTTCACGTAAACAAGCGCATGGGTTTTTGTTTTTTTAACTATTATTCTTCTTTCCTCATCCCAAAATATATTTTATTTTTATTTTTTTGGTCATCTAGGAAGATTGTGAGAAACCTTGTACCACTATGCAAAATAGATATGTAAAGTATGGAGCTACAGACATAAGAAACACA